TCATAACTCTTATGAATAATATTTTCCATAACTATTTGGATAAATTCATTATTATCTATCTTGATAATATATTTATATTCAGTAATACTAAGAAAGAATATCTTCAATATCTTTATATTATTCTTTCTAAATTTCATGAACATAAGCTCTATGCCAAATTCAAGAAATATAAACTCATCAAGCAATATGTCGAATACTTAGATCATTTTATTTCAGATCAAGGAATATTAGTTAATCAATGCAAAATTACTACTATTTGTGACTGGTTCAAGTTAACAAATATCTCTGAGCTTCGATTATTCTTAGATCTTGCTAGTTACTATAAGAAATTTATAAAAGAATTCTTTGCAATTGCTTCATCATTCACAATCTTACTTCATAAAGATCAAGAATATATTTGGAATAAGTCTGAGCAGAAAGTATTTGATAATTTAAAATAGCATTTAATTACCATACCTATCTTAATTTTACCAGATCCTAAATTATCTTTCATAATTATAACTGATGTATCTGAATTTGCTATAGGAGTCATTCTTAGTCAAAATCATGAAAAAAATGATCAATCTATTACTTATGAATCACATAAACTATCCTCAGCTAAACAAAACTATCCAATACATGAAAAGAAACTTCTTACTATTGTACATGCTATTTATCTCTGGAAATCTTACTTGAAAAGATAATAATTTACTATCATTACTAATTATATATCTCTTGAGTATATTAAGTTACAACATAATCTTTCTAAATATCAAGCTCACTGATTAGAAATCTTACAAGCTAATAATTTCATTATTAAATATAAATCAGAAAAGAAAAACATAGTAGCTGATACTTTATCTTGTCCACCATAAGTGAATAATATTACTACAATCTCTGCACAACTTATCAATAATAAAAAGTTACAACAAGAATATGAGAATGATAAATATTTCAAGAAAATCTGGATAGTCTTACAAAATTCTAAATTATCTATACTAAAGTAATAATCTTGATAATACGTTATTCTGAGAGATAATAAGCTTTATTTAAAAAATATAAATCATCTTGCTATTCTCAAGAATAAAACTTTGAGAACTTAAATTCTGAAAGAATATCATAATATTTCTATCTCTGGTCATCTAGGAATTGATAAAACTTATAAGTATTTACAAAGATCATATTGCTGGCCAAAAATATTTAAGAATGTTCATAAATATATCCTTAGTTGTGAAGAATGCCAAAGAAATAAATTTAGTAATCAGCCACACTCAGGATCTTTACAATCATTAAAAATACCTAAATAATGCTAGGAACAAATTACTTTAGATTTTATCATGTAATTATCTATAACTTGTCAAGAACATAATATAATTCTAGTAATTATCAATTATCTTACTAAACATACATACTTCATTCCTATTCATACTACTATTACTATATCTGAAGTTGTTAAACTATTCTTCAATAACATATTTAAATTATATGAACTATCTCAAGTTATAGTTTCAGATTGTAATGCTAAATTTACTAGTTGTTTCTGAAAATCATTATTTGAATAAATTAGAACTAAATTAGCTATGTCAACTGTATTTCATCCACAAACTGATGGTCAAACTGAGAGAATGAATCACACTCTAGAAGAAATATTAAGAATCTATTCTACCTATAATCAAGATTGCTAGGATAAATATCTTGCTATTACTGAATTCACATATAATAATTCAATTCAAGCTTCTTCTAATCATACACCTTTTGAGTTAGATTGTGATTAACATCTGATTATACCTATAACACTTATCACAGATAATAAAGTTATCACTACTAATAAATTCATTCAATATTAGAATAATATAATTAAAGATGTTAAAGACTTATTAATAGAAGCACAGGATCATTAATCAAAATATGCTAATTAATATCATCATTTTCAAGAATTTAAAATTAGAGATCAAGTCTTACTTTCAACTTGCAATATTATTAATCTTATAGATAAATAACATCCTAATAAAAAGCTTACACCTAAATATATTAGTTTCTTCTCTATTCTTGAAGTAAACTTATCTGTTATATATAAATTAGATTTATCTTCGCATATGAAAATCCACTTTGTCTTTCATATTTTATTGTTAAAATCTTATAACCCTAATGATAATGAAGATTTCATTCATTTAACTCCATCACAATCAATCATCATATCTGGAACTGATAAAGAAGAATATGAAGTAGAAGTAATCTTGAATAAAAAGATTATTCAAAATAAATCTCAATACTTAGTTAAATAGCTAGGTTACTCTCTTCATGATTCTACCTGGAAATCTTTGAAAAATCTTTACAATATAATGGAACTCATAAAATCTTTTGAATCAAAATATCAATGAGAATATTGATTCTTAAGAGAAGAAATATTATAACAAAATTAGATTAATTATTATATTATATTTATCTTTTATCTTGCAGATTGTTACTGTGCAACATACTGCATTACATGTGACTTACTGTGCCATAATCATCTGATCATACCAAGAAAAGTTATCTAATTTATTTGAATTATTTTAGCTATAAATAGTTTCTTAGTAGAATTTCTCTTTTTTCTTGTTCTACTAATTTAGCTAGCATATTACTAAATTTATATATTACACTATGTAACAAAAAGATTACAAAGCTGATTATTTGATTCATTAAAATTTTGCTTTATTCTTTTTGTAAGATAGTTTTTAATTCTATAATATTTTTTATTACTTGTAGTTAGTTTCTTATTCTTCTTTTTAGCTCTGATCATAAATACTTAATTAGATTTAAGTTAAAAGACTAACTTGACCAATCTTATAAAATATTAATTTTATTAATAAGTATCTATTGCTTGATATCCTTAGCAATATGAATTGAAGCATTATCATCCTGAAATAGATATCTTTTATCATTAAATTTCTTATCTATTAAAGATAGTAAATATATTTTTAGTATCTATATATAATTTAATCTACTCATTTTGTTCTTTATCTTTATTAATAGATCCAATTCTTTATGTAAAAAACATTTTCAAGTAATACATTTTAAGAATCAGGAATGCTAGAAGATGTTAAATATTTTTATTTATATATTTTTATATTTATTTACAAAAAATACAAAAATTATATATATATTTGGTTAAAAGTAAGATTATAACAGATTAAATAAAATTAGAAACATGATTATTATATAAGATTTTATGTAATTAATAAATTTTGGATGTGTGTTATTTTTATTTAGATAGTATATATATAATAAGAAAATTATAATAGTAAAAATTTTCAAATATTTTTGACAAAAAAAATAAATATTTTTTTTATTATTTATTTATTATAATTTAATAATTTATAATAGTGATCAAAAATAATATATCAGAAGCTAAATTTATTAATAAAATATAATAAAAATTAAAAATTTCTTACTATATTAAAATTTATGATTTTATTAAAAAATAATTTTATATCAAAATAAAGTTTATTAGATATAATTTAATATATATTTTTTTTAATTAGTAAAAATTTTTGCATTAACTTTATAATTAGAATAATTCTTTTAGAAAAATCTAAAAAATCTGAAAAAATTATATATTATAAACTTTATTTGATATAAAAATAAAAATTATTTCTTAATAAAATTATAAATTTTAATATAGAGAGAAAATTTTTACTATATTTTATTAATAAATTTAGTTCCTATATATTATTTTTGTTTATTATTTTATAAAATTATTTGTAATTAGACATATTTAATGTTAATTTTAATAGTAATAATCAAATTTTCAGTATTTGATATATCATGTGCATTATTTTTAATTGGCTAAATTTCAAGATGCAAAATTATATTATTATTTTTATACAAAATTAAATTTAGCATAGCACATAATAGCTTATATTTAGAAATAATAATTCGATTTTAGCATCTTATTTGAAAATTATAATCCTTCAAAAATTCAACGATGGCGCAGTATTTGATGTTTGCACCATAGTACACTTCTAAATAAATAAGTGATGCTTTATAACATGAATTAAATCATGAAATTTTTTCTTCTTAATCAATATTTGTTATTAGAATTAATAAATTTATATAAATATCATCTTTTATATGAATTATTATTATTAGATATTTATTCATAAATTGTTTCATAACATCTTTTGCAAGATATTTAATTTGCAAAAGATTTTTTTCAAACTTAGCTTATATATTTTTAGTTAGTGATTTTCAACATTCTGAATGAATCATAACTTTTAAACTGATTTGGAATTGGGTGGCTTGATTTAAATAATTTAGGATTGAGATTTATTTTGAATTACGCCATATCGATATACGGCAATTTATATCTTCAATCCCCAAGCTAATTTTGCCAGTTTTGAATACTTGGTAGAATCTTATACTTTTGGGCAGCATCACTAGCCACCCTATTTTGAAGTCTAGTCAAGTGGTACTTATTTCGGGAGAATACGGTATATATTGTTGCTGCTGTAGCTGATGACTGGAGATCATTTCTGAAAGAATTCTATATTTATTAAAACACTTATCAATATTACATTGATACAAAAATTTCTGTAGACCCTAATTCATTCTAAATCAATGTGTGTATTAACGTTAATGTACATGCATAATTAATCAAAACGATAAAGGCGGTGGCGATAATGTATTCACACAGAAATCTGCGGCATTATGTGCATATATGCAATATCTATTTACATGTACATGTACATGTACATGTATCATACAATGTGTGAAACACTACGATCAGATTATTCTTATACATGTACATGTATGTGAGATTTAAAATATCCTCTACGGATAAAGTGATGCCAAGAACAAAAAATTTGTTTGCAGATATATCACCTTTATGGTATAAATAGAGCCTAATGTTTATTTTAACTGTATAATTTCAAGAATTCGACATAATGGTGTTTTTTATGTTTGACACGACACGAAAAACGGTAAATTTGTGTAAAATAAACTACAAATTTCCCAGTAATAAAATTTAATATTTTCTTTAGTTACCAGAGCCAAAGTCTTTTTATCCATTGCGTATATTTACCGCTGTGTTAATTCTTATAACATATACGGGGTATTGTATATTTTTAATTTGGCAAATAAGTCGAGATAGCCCTGTTCTAAGAGATTTTCAAGAGTTTGAAGATTTATTGCCGGTTCCTGGTAATTTTTGTTTATGCGAAAAATTAGCGTTTTTTTATTATCAATTATTTAATAATCGGTTACTTTAAAGACATACAAATCTGCGGGTGGCAGAATGATATACAAATAGAAAGATGCGACTTCCTATGGAACAACTCAACTGTAACAACATACGAAAATTGTACCGGACCTATCCAAAAATTATATCAATCACCAAATAGAATAAACCTAAACGATTTTTGTTATTTGTTCACTATTGTGGATAAAACGATAAAATATGGGCGTTTGGATAACGATACTCTAAAGAATATCGATTTTTATTATAAGATTTTGAATATGACAAGTTTTTCAGAGTATTCTATTTCTGTTGCTACGATTGGTAACCTATATTTTCATTTTAAAGCCAGTAAATGAAATAAACAATTTGTAAAAGTATTTAATTATTATAATTATTTAATTATTATTATAATGAATTGTTTAGCTATACAATTGTATGATCCGAGTTTTAATCCTGTTTGGGATGGAACACAATTACGTGGAATGGTCGATGATGCGATGAATCAAAATTTCAAACTAGAATTTAATACTTTTGCCGGAATATATAATTATTCTTCTCTGGTAAATATTAAACTTATTCTCATATGTAAAATCTTTCAAACTAAAATAATAAAATCTTTGCCCTCAGGCTAAAATCCAAAGATCAGTGTTCAGATCAATTTTACCAGGCGATATTAGCGCAATCTTTGGCTTTAATCCCAGTTATCATAACACAACTACTTATTCAGTGAATCCAGAATATTTTCCACTCCATTTGAGTCAAAATATAACTGATGAAGAATATTCCGGTCACTTTTCAGTAAAGGTTGGAACTTTTTCACAGGACGTGCGCGAGCAGCAACGGTTTGTGTATTAAAAATTGGTTTAATGTGTTATAGAATATCTTCAAATTGACCTACTAAACTTTTTAGGACCCATACTATTTTGGGTGCACTGGGTCTTGCTGGAGGTGGTTTTGGTAATAATTGAATTGTGATTTTTTTCTTAATATTTACATAGCACATAATTAATTTATTCGGTTTGGTTTTCCTAAATTAAAGGGGCATTATGTGGAATTTATGTTGCATTGTTTGGAGAAGCGAGGTTACGGCCATGGTAGTTACTATTCTTAATTAAGGAATTTGTTTGTTCGTTAGTCGTTTATATGTAACGTTCTTGATAAATCTGGTTAATTAGGGGATGGATGCATCATGCAGCCAAGGCCTCAATATCACAAAAATTACGAGCACTTGATCCAACCAATATACCTTTTGTAACGTCACTAGTAGTCACCGGACGAAATATAAACCCTGTCGAAGAACGAACTAGACGACTCGAAGAGCGCATCGATGAATTAGAAGGAATCTTATCAGATTATTTCCTTGATGGAAGGTTTTTGGCTAAATTGCAAACACGACGTGCTGCTACTATGACTTCTATATTGGCCGATAGCACAATGGATAAAGCAAATAACGAAGTCGTTTCTGACAAAGTGGTTGGTGACGATGAAACAAGGGCAAATATTGAGTAAATAGAAATGAAATTGAAAAATTATTTGATGAGAAGCTGTAAAATATTTTTAAATTTTTATTGAAAATAACGTAGCTAATATGGCTATAAGTATTCGTCATATTTTATAGCTCGGTAATATTATCATTCTTTTGGGATAACTATATTCAATTTGAGTTCTTTAAAGTGAACTCAATTCTTCTTTTCTACCTCTCCAACTAAGCAAGCAACAAAAAATATATATAATTTAGAATCTCTTTCATTATTATGAGTTTTCTAATGGCGAAATAAATGATAAATAAGAGAAACTTTAAAAATAAATGTACATTCTGAATTTTATTGGGAAGAAACTCAGATTTCTTTTAATAACGCAGATTATTCTAGTTATCTGCATAAACATCTCAATTATTATTTATGACGCCATTTTTTTATTCGAATATATGGTCAATCTCTCTCTCGATGCAATCTGTCGGGACCACAAATATATAGCTTGCATTTAGAGAATAATTAACAAAATTGAATTTATGGAGTAAAATATATAAAGATTTTTTAATTTGAAATCAAGTCAAAGCTTGCATTTAAAGAAGTTCATTATATATAACTATCATCATAATTAATGAGAATCATTTTTTGATTATAAATTTTGTGAATCTTATTCAGATTGTGACTTTACAGGTAGATAAGTATTCTATAAGAAATAATAGGATGTAAATATATGTTAAAGTATGTAAAGACTAGTATGTTACATATAATACATATATTCAACATAGAATTTTTTGTATCTATTTTTGTCAGATGGAAATAAATACCTATATAATTTAGAAAAGACACAGAAAATAAATATAATAAATATTTTCAGAAATCTAATGTTGTAATGCATATATAAATTAATATAAAATTATATTATATATATTTACAAGAGATATATTTTTAATCTTTTTTTATAGATTTTTTCTTTATATTTTTATCTTAATTTCATATAAAATAAGAGAATAAAGATTTCTTTTTTAATAATATACTCAATAAATAATCAGTTTATAAAAAATTTTACATAATAGAATTTATTAATATTATATAAAAATATATTTTTATAAGAAATAATAAAATATAAATATATATTAAAGTATATAAAATTAATTAATATATATATAAAATATATATAATTAGCAAAATTTTTGTATTTTATTTTTTTAATAAATATACTTATAAAAGATATATATAATTTAAGAAAGCTATAGAAAATAAATATTATAATCTTTATTTAGAAAAAATATAGAAAATAAAGAATATTATCTAATATTTATCTTTTAATATTCTTATATCAGTCAGTGCAAAAAGATTGATATATCAATATAAAAATTAATAATTGCTTCTAATAAAATCATTCAAATTTTAATTAATCTTTATAATTTTTTATATTAATAAAAAATGATTTAAATTAACTTTTTATACTATTTTAATTATTCTATTATACTTTAATTTAATAATAAATAAAGTATTACTTTACT